GCTCACCTTTTCTGCAGGGCATTGAGGATCAAATGAAGCCGGAAGACTCTTCATCAGCTCTTGTGCCTCTTTTACTGTACTATCGTCGGTCATTCCACGGCACTTTGGACAGGCTATATAGCACGGCTCCGACGTCTCAGTGATTATCTACAACCTTCTTTAAAGAGTGTACGAATGTTTTTGAAATTTACTCTCCCCCCACCAACGGTTCTGAACATCCTGGCGTGGAACATTTGATAGCGGTCAGCATGTCATCGGCCGGATCAACACAGCGGGAGCACTCACAGTCGAAGTACCACCGGGCCTGAAGCAGATGTTCATTATTTGCAGGATTTGAACTTACTTTGAAAAATGTAAATTAAGAGCATCAGGATAGAATAATAAGGAGTGAAGATTAGGGAAGAATCCATTGATAATACATGCATTGTTGGTTAATCTTTGAGTTTATTTGCAAATACTAGAAAAAAAGCAGTTGTGGCAGTTACGTTATTTGAGAGAATAATTTTTTTGCAAGGTGTTATGGAAGTGCAAACGAGCTAACTCGACGTCTTTTCCTTCCAGAAATTCCAGACTTCTTGATTCTAGCAGAATCTTACTGATGAGATCCTTAAATGCTGATAACGAAAATTATATGCATTCCAGAAGGCAGGAGCAAACTATAGAATTGCAGTAAGTAGGCGATAAGCCAAGAATCAGAGACTTGCTTTGGAAGTAATCGTCTGATTATTGTTACTCCGCAATGTATTCCGTAAGAGCCTATCGTGTGGAATAGGTGGACTTTAGCAAGGAGTTTATTAGTTTATTATTTATTTTTTTCAGTTTGTTTTATAGCACCCCCTATCTGTAACAAACCCAAAGCATGATACTTTCTGACACATGAGATTTCTGCAAAGTTTGTCGAATAACCTAACCGCGAATAGCACTAGCAGATGGAATATTCTGAAAATTCAAAAAGAGAAGATGGGGGGTTAGCTTTTTTGTCATTTAATATCCGATTCAATGACCTCCAAATTATCACTGAATTTAAGGGAAATGCAAGATATTTATTAAAGTTAAAATTCTCACAACGTAACGACAACTTGTCACAACATTTGATTTGTAGAGATTTTTTCTATGCGGAAAACGCATGATTTTATCAACAAATTAATATTTTTCGGTTTTATTCTTGGTATCTACTTTACTCAATCCGTCCTCTTAGATCTGCTGACTAGCGGTCGTTGTAATAAAAACGACAAACAGCCAGTGCTTTCAATGACGTTTTTTGTTGAACGGCTAAACATCCTATAGACAAAACGAATATAAAATGTAGTGCCTCACCTTGAGGTCTTTCCGCCGTACATACTTGCTTCTCCCCACATCAGTATATGATATGAACGCTTTTGATAAATCCGAAACATCTAAACCAGGAAGCAAAGGTCGTAGGCACACCCTGAAAAGTTCGAAAAGTGGGAGAATTTGGCTAGTATCTCAGATGTAACGCTGATTTAAGACAACATAAGCTTTACAAAAAGGTCTTCTATAAAGCTATTTTGATACTAGCATATAAGAGGGAATTGAGAAGGTAAAGATATAGCAGTTAATTTGTACAAAATGACTGTAAATCTTAAACTTCTAACAAAAACCTTCTTCAAAACTTACCTAAAACCATCGAATACCATAGAACACGTTGGTCGACAGGAATGATTATATTTAGATACTCCTGAAACACAGAGGAAGACACATTTGAGACTTGTTTGTTGAATTAACAGCATATAAAATTTCATGATGGCGCAAAAAGTGCCTCCAAGACCAGAGATCTAATTTTGGGAAAATTCGCGGATGCATGTGACACCTATGTAGTCTGCGCTCAATGTTCAGTACGCCTACATATGCTGTTAAGAAGAGCGTTTCGAATATTTGGGTTTTTTTCACGAAAGCTTCTAAATAGACTTTTGAAAAGAACAAAAAGAGAAAAGAAGAAAAAAGAGAAAAAGGAGTAAACAAAAATTGCTAACCTAAATCAAGTGCCATGCCGATTTCTGTCCCAGCGTTTGTGTGGATACTGTGTGAGTTAATGGACGCTTTACAAAATATATCAAAGAACTCCTCCTGAAATATAGCAGTTAAGCTTTCATTAACGGCATATCGTCTGTTCGCAGCTATAAATTCATCCACAATTCAGAATTTGTGGACGATAAGTTGGGTATGAGTATTTGTCGATTTTTTAAAGTTCAGCAGGAAAATACTCATTTGTAAGGTCACATTAAGCTAAATTGTTTTGAAATTTTCATGAAAAATCTTTGTCAAACATTAGCTGTTTTACCCTATAACTACTTTTGAAGTAGATCATATTTCCTTTTTTGTTGTACTGCTTTTTTTTTCAAATTATCAACAACGTTGTAAAAGATTTTCGGGTTTTACTATAAATGTTTTCTAGGCTGCCTTGATGTATCGAAATAGCAGAATATCCTGCAAGGAAAAAAGGAAACTATAGATGTCCACCTTTAAAATGATAGTGTTGATAGTGTATGCGGTTTTTTACTCTTGTGCTTACCAACCTTTTCTTTGATCTTTTAACCTTACC